GCTCCCAGGGGCTTATTTCCAGCCCCCGCACGGGCCCGGGGCTCAGCCGCCCTCCCCGCGGGGCTTCTGGCGCGCGCCCTGGGGTCAAGGCGCAGTTTGCGAAGGACTGCGGCGTGGGCAAGCTGTTCGTACGCAGACTGTGGGAGCAGGTTTGTCACACAAGTTCAGCACGTTCCACGCTGGTCAGAGGCGAGCAAGGTCAAGGCCGCAACTTCTTGCCCACTTGTTCGAAACCTATTGGTGCCTGTGCGCTCTGCCTTTTCTCTTCTCTTCCGAGGGCCGGAGCTGTAACTCAGGCGAGAGGCGACCCAACCCAAATAGGGGTCACACCTACTGCCGGGAGAGGCCTTTGCATAAAAATGTTCTTAATTTTTTTTTTTTAAGCAGTGGAATAGCCAATGGACTTAGCAAAGCGTGACCTGCCCAGGCGCGCGGAGGGCAGCTCTGGCAGTCATCTGTGACTGGACCACCAGGTAACGTCCTGGACGTGCCTGCTCACGGGGATGTTAACAAACATTGCCAGGGTGTGGCTGTCAGATGTCATTAGCCAACGCACTTAACCGGGAGGAGGGCACGGTCGGGGCATATGTGCGTCAGGTATTTTGGGGAGGTCAGAGTCTGCCCTGTGTTACAGCCACATGTTCTGAGTTGCACATTTATCGAGTGGCTGGAGTAAAGGATGAGGGCAGTGCAACGTCTCTCCCGGCGCTGGCACATGAGCAATGGGATACAGAGATGTGGGAAGGGAAGCTTGACTGGCACTGGGCATGCAAATCTTTCCGGGGTGGAAATTAGGACCCACATCAGATGGGGTGTACTTCGTAGACCGAGGTGGAGGACCAGTCAACCCAATGAGTTCTAGCGTTCATCATGTGAACCGCGGAGTCCTTAGCTCGAGAACTCTGAGTCCAGATGTGCAATTAGAGGTGGGCAGCTGGGAAACACCCCGTTACAGGAAGGGCCTGAGCTGTTCAAGTGGGCAAAATGAGTGCCAGCGAAATCCGAGTTTCCAAGGAAATAGGATTTTAGATAGTTTATACACAGCGGTGGGTTTTACTGCTAAGCTGTTCTAGGTTTGGAAAGGGGCAGAGAGGGGTTGTACCACATGGTTGGAAAAATCCCAGTCAGTACAAAGAAAACAACCATAAAACCAAATCAAACCTCAGTCCTCCAATAGTCAGCCTCTCCATCTCGTCGCCCCCCACCCCTTCCAGCAACCCTCTTCCCCACAAAAGTGCCAGCACTAACTTGGAGATCAAGGTATCAATCTTGGACCAGGATGAATTTTGTGTACATGTTATCCTCCTAGACCAGTGATGGCGAACCTTTTGAGCTCGGCGTGTCAGCATTTTGAAAAACCCTAACTTAACTCTGGTGCCATGTCACATATAGAAATTTTTTGATGTTTGCAACCATAGCAAAACAAAGATTTATATTTTTGATATTTATTTTATATATTTAAATGCCATTTAACAAAGAAAAATCAACCAAAACAATGAGTTCGTGCGTTCCCTCTGACACGCGTGTCATAGGTTCGCCATCACTGTCCTAGACAAATGATTCTACCAGCAAACTAGGTGAGACCTTTTTTAGTTGGGGTTGTTTACACACACACACACACACACACACACTCCAAACACACACAGAACAAACACACACTATCACAGTGTGGGAACTCCCCAATACCTGCACTAATACAACAACCATATCAAAACATTTACTCATGTGAATTAACTTTGTCATGAGCGTTCCATGTGTTAAGGGACCAAGAAAAGAATTTTTTTTCCCATTTCTTGGGTATTGGGGCTTTTGCTTTCAAGATAGAATTATTTTGGCCAGAGATTCCTAAAGACAGGAAATGTTCACGGTTTGAGGCAGAAGCACAGTTCACTCTTTTTGTGTGGTTTCACACACTTCCCTTTTTGCTATTTTTAGGAGAGGGAGGTATAGAAGTCAG